AAGTAACTTAGCAAGATCCTGTCTCAAGATAAAAAACAAAAGGGGTTAGGGGTGTAACTCAGTAGTAAAGTGCCCCTGGGTTCAATCCCAGTACCAAAAGAGTAACAAGGCCTTAAGTAGAATCTTGACTYCTGATCCTTAGATACCATTCTCTGTATCTAGAATAGGATTAACCATCATAAAGTCCATGTACCCCAAGATACAGGCAAAATGTTATATGTATTCTGTGGAGAGGACCCAAAGCTCTTAGATGCTTCGAGAAGTGAAATCTCCAAAAAGGACAGCTGATTTACAACACTTTCATTTTCACCATGATATGAATATCAATGATCATACATTGCCAACTCTTGGTTTACTCACTCTCTCTGGAGTGATGGTGAGCATTCAAAAGGAGACTCCTTAGGATCTTACAGTTCTAAAAGCTGGAAAGGAGCTCTCAGGTCACAAAACAAAATGTATTAAGAATAAAATATGACCAAATATAAGAACTTTAGAAATCCTTTCATTGTGACTTTTACGTGGCAGAAGCTATGGTACTGTGAAGTAAAGAGGTTCAGTTTAGAACCAGAAGATTTTATCACTAAGCACTGTGTGAGATGAGAAGAATACTTGGACTCAAGGGCCTCAGTGGTTTCACCTGTAAAACAGACAACATCACTGCAACATACAGCACAGCCTTGCTGWCAGCTACAATTCTGAGATTATAGATTATGCAATCATTTTCTTTAAATGACATTTCAATCTCAGTAAGACTCACACTCTGATTTGACGAATAGGTCCATATTTTCCAAATATATCATACATTTCTTCAGCTGTGATTTTGTATGGTAAATTTCTTATATATAAAATCCGATTTACTTCAGGTGGAAGTCGAATCTAAAATGAAAAATATGTACAAGTCATTTTAAAGAGGGCAAGAGTGCTACCATTAAAAAAAATCTCAATGATACATAATAATAAAATGCAAAGAATTAGAGGTATAATCTGATGTTACTAAAAATGCAATGATCTTCAGCAAAACAAGAGAGCATTGAGTCTAAGGGAAGACCATTAGTAGGAACTAAAAAGGGGCTATTACAAAAACCAGGCTTTTGGTTGCTACAGTTTAACAAGGATTTCCAACTCAACAATTGTTTACTCAAAAATCCTTGAAGCCTCAGATCACCTTTCTATAGGAAAGAAGGGAACTGTCCTATTTGCCACACAATAAAACTTCCACTAGTAACCCTTCTTTGKTTTTTTTCAAACTTCTTATATCAATGATCTCTCTTGTCTTTACATGCTTTCCCTCCCCATTGGCTTCTCCTGTTCCGCATATGAGCAGGTGCTCATGCCAATCCTTACACAAAATGCTTATTTGGATCCCTCTTCATTCATTCAACAAATACTTAGTTCCTTTTTTATGTTTATACCAGGGAAGATATTAAGAATAGACAGTTAAAGAAAAAAGACAAGAGTTCTGCCTTCTCTGAACTTAACAGCTTTCTCTCTCTCTTTATATCCTATCTTCTCTTTTTTTTCTTGTCAAGCATATAGAAAAAGTCTATATTAACTGACTCATGTTCTTTACTGTGTTGACATTCAAACCTAAGTTTCCACCCCAGCACTTTGCTGAAAGAGCTCATATTTACTAAGACTTTTTAATTACATTGTTCAATTCCTGAACTTCTCTGAGGCTTTTGACACTGCTGTTTAGTCCCTTCGTGACACTATTTTCTCCTAATTTTGATTTGCTATTTATTTTCAGTGTTCTTTGACATTAAAATGTGTTGTTCCACAGGGCTTTATTGTCAACTTCTTTTCTTGACCTGCTGTTTACTCTCCTTGACTCTTCATAYTCTCTTTGGTCTATGGTGATGATTCTCTGTAGTTAACAAGTTCTATTACATACTAGACACAAATCTGCCCAATAAGTATTTATTAAACTGAAAACCAAAAATATTTAGCATTAAGCTAAGTATTATATTAGTAGAAGATTATGATACTATTCCCTGGGCTGAAGTTGTAACTCACTGGTACAGTGCTTGCCCAGCATGTGAGACACTGGGTTGGATCCTCAGCACCACATAAATAAATTTTTTTAAAAAGATACTATTCCCTGTCTTCAAACTAATAATGGTAATAAAATGAATAATTACAATAAGGTTTTAGATTTCAAGATTCAAGGTTAAGGGCTGGGGATGTGGCTCAAGCGGTAGCGCGCTTGCCTGGCATGCGTGCGGCCCGGGTTCAATCCTCCAGCACCACATACCAACAAAGATGTTATGTCCGCCAATAACTAATAAATAAATATTTAAAAAAAAAAAAAAAGATTCAAGGTTAAGTTCAAAAATTGACACTACCAATCATAATATATACTTCTCTAGTAGATTTGTTTTCTCACTCTGCTAAGCACCATCTTACACTTTTTCTCTGCATACCTTACCACCATCATTCCCTCTCACATCTGAGTTGGACTGTACACTCTTCCCTTCCCATCCCAGGAGATGACCCTGGCTCTTGCTTCTTGGAGAAAATAGATGAGATAAAATAGTAAGTACTTTATATTCCTATCACTGAACAGACCAAAAGTCATTCATCTATTTCCATCCACATTCCTTCTATTACTATGCCATCCGTTCATGTACTCAAAACCTGTCTTTCTTCCATACCATGTTTCTTCTAATCTGTTGGAGTATTCTCACTGGAATACAAATACATGTCATGCATCTTTTTTTTTTTTTTTTAAAGCCAACTATCACCCAACTTCTCTGTTCTCTATTCATATCAAAGACTCATGGAAAGAGCTCTTTGTTGTCTTCATTTTCTCAACTTTCACCTCTTTTCATCCTACTACAACCAAGTTTTCATCCAGTGAAATATTTGCTATCATCAAAGTCACACACACAAAAAAATCTACATCTCAACATATCAAGTCAATTACCTGGCTTCATCTTTACTTGAGGTTTTATTTTTAAAATGTTTCCATAACATTCCACTCTCTTAGAATGCAAGCATAAGGACTTTTTGTTTTATTCACTACTGTGTCCCTAGTACCTAAGACTAGTGTCYGGCACAGAGTCGGAATTCAATAAGTAAAACTGATGAATTGCTTCCCAACTCGAAAGCCAAGTACACAGCAGGTGTTCAATAAAACTGTTGGATTAATGTGTTAATGAAGGACCCCAAAGCTTCATGATGTGAGAATCCCAGGCTCTAGTTGCCAGTGAACCACAGAGTTGCTTACTCAGGTCTAGTCTATGCTATCGACTTTTAGGCCAAAAAGAAGATCCTAACACCAGATCCTGGGGGAGAGTCAACAGGCTGCAGAGCCAACCTGTCACTGACGCCAGGAGACGAGGAACTCCAAAGGGGGTGGGGCGGAAGTGTGGTTCAGGCACATGCCCCCTGAGGACAGGCCCTAGACACAATCCCCCCGATGGAAAATTCTTAACTTCCCCGTTTGGGGGAAGGAAAAGGGCAGGGCCGTTTTGACCGAGGCCGCCAAAAGCCAAGCAGCGAAGTCCTTCCCCTATTCCGCATATGGCCCAGTACTCACGTTCGCCCTCTTGGCCGCTTGCATCGCCATCTTGGCGGGCTGAAGAGGTTACCGCAGCAAACACAGAATTCCTCCGGACCCCTCCGGAATGCGTTTGCCTTCGAGCGCAACACGACTTCTGAGGTAAAGTGTTAACACCCAGATCCCGCCGGAAGCTGTTACAGCACTGCCGGAATACAACAGCCTCACGCTGRGACGTGCTGACGCAGCCTCCCACTCTCCCAGTACCAATCTAGCTTGAGATCCAAGACAGACCGGAAGGTAAAAATGAGAGCGCCCAAGACATTTCCGGGTTATGAGCCGGAAGGGGCGGGGCTTGTGCTCTACGAGGGGCGGAGTTCTGGCCGGGACAGCTCTGTGTAGCAAGGGGCCGGACGGAGGGGCGGGGTCTGGGGAGCGAAGGCAAGGTAGGATAAGGCCCTGGTTGAGTACCCGGAGTGCAGCCGAGCGCAGGGGACTCGAGARCGGACGTGGCCCTTCAGCAGTGCGCGAAGTCAAGAGTGTAGTTCTGGCTGTGTGTGTCGTGGTTAAGCTGTAACCGTACCCGGCACCCCAGCAGTGGTGTGGGCCTCAGGTCCAGCATCAAGTGACGGCCCTGAACACCACCCCCACCCCACCCCACCCCCCCGCTCCTGCCACAGCCTGTGAGCTGTGGCTGCCTATAGTGAGTACGCCACCCTTCAAGTCCACTCTTTATTTACTTAGACCAGCTTTACACGATCAATTGAGGATTTGAGAGGAGCACCCTCTCCAAGTTCACTCTGGGAAAGCCCGGGGTGACGGGGTGACGGGGTGACGGGTGTCCTGCATCGCCCCCTTCTTCACTGGGGCAATTCCAGGACGATTTTGCCCACGTTCCTGTTAGCCTCCATGTACTTATGGGCGGCTTGGATTTCAGCCATTGGGTAGACTCTGTCCAGCACTGGCAGGAGACGTTGGGGTCCCTCCTTGGAGAAATGGGGCAGAATTTGCTCTGTGAACGCTTTCACCAGCATTTGCTTGTACTAAGATAAAGAAAAGGAGACTATGAGTTTGGACAGAGGCTTTACCCAACCACTCACTCCCTCTCCTGCTTAGCCTTAATGCCCTACCTACGTGGAAAAAAGCACATCTGCTCACTTCCCATTATGTAGCTGCATGCTCCCAAATGTGTAACCTCTGTACAATACCAGGTAAAGACTTAAGGTTGGAATAAAATAATAGTGTCACTGACAGCCTAAGAACTATTTTAAAATAAAGGTGTCATGCAAGAGGCAGATACAGACAGGACTCAGATAGTGTCAGTGCAAAAGGAACGCTAAACTTYGCTCTCCCCTAGAGATGTGAATCCCTTTAGTGGGAGACATTCCCAAAGTTGGCATCTGTTAGAATATCATACAGAAGAAATGGTAGGAACATATAATCTGTTGAAGCTAGGGACTTACTTGCCTGATAAGCTTTCTTAGCACACCAAGAAGAGTTCTGCCTTTGAAAACAAAGTCTTGGAACTCTTAGAAGTCTTCCTAATGTGGTCAAAGCTTTGTCCATTCTGTTAGAAAGTTATGTATACAAAGTACTAGCTACACTCTTTTCAAGATGCAGAAGCTTCTGTTGACTAATGTGAGTTAGTTCTCTGAAACTATTTATCCACAAGGTGGCAGGTTTCTTTGTAGGCTTTCTATTCTGGGTATAATGTAAACAAAGCACAATTTTCTGAGTAAATAGATCAATCACATTTTCTTTTCATTCCTCACTCACCTTCTTGTCCCTATTTCTCAACCGACTAGTGATCAGACTTCCTCGTTTATAAAATAGCTTTGAAAACAGGGGCCCACTGACATCTTCTCCTCCCAACAGACCATAGAGAATCCATCGACCATCAAGAGCCAGGCAGTTGACATTTTTCTCCCAGTAGGATCCACCTATGCAGTCTAGAATAAGGTTCACTCCAGCACCTTCCATAGGAAACAGATTTGTAATATTAATCAGCCACAGAAAACTTGGAATACAATTCCATGGTATGTTTGTAGATATATGGGTAAAAATAAATACAGATGCAAGTGGTAAATGTATGTTAGAACTAGAAACATTGGTCATAGAAACATTGTTGTGAATAGAGTTTAGGTAATGAACTCTATCATAGCATGTATAATAGAGTTCATCTTTTCTGATCACTACCCACCATAAGAAGGAAATAGTACAACAATATAACCTGATATTTCCTCTCACCCAGGAGTGAGCAAGAGCAGAACAGAGGAGAGCCACCTCAGGCTATAAGGCAGGCTAACATGGAAGTTATGCACTGGGACATCAGAATCACAGACTTCCTAACTTTGTTTTTATTGGTCCCTTTCTTCTCATATGAAAAATGAAAAGGAATTAGCAAAAAATATCCATATTTGGTCTTGGTATATAGACATAAACCCATCTATTCATTCATTTAGGAAGCTCCCACACAAACCCTACTATGAGTGTACTCTGTCTTAGGCTTCCTGTTAACTCACTGAGGATTGGCTAGTTGGGAATAATAATCAGGATAATCTGCCTGATTATCCAGTTTCTAAAGTATGCATGAATCATATCACTCAAGAATGCACATGGAAAACATCTTAGACCTAAATAAGTACTGGCTTCCTGTCTCCCGTGGTCAAACACAAGAATACTAGAATTTGACCAGAGTAGCTGTAGTGTATTTAGCAGAGGCAAGACTGATGGAGAGGACTGGCAGCCTTGGATCTGGTGAGGATTTTTGTTTAATCACCTCTGAAATTCCTGTTGAACTGTAGAAGCAGTTATTTACCTTTGGTAAATTTCAGTGTTGCTTCACAAAAATCCTGTTCTTTGTAATTGAATCCAGCAGCTGCTCCAAGTTTTTCTGCCATTTGAAGCTTGTTCTGGGATCCAGCTGTGACCAGAGGAATAGCGCCAGCCATCCGGGTGAGTTGGATGGCAGCTATGCCCACAGAACTTGCCCCTGCGTGGATTAGCACAGTTTCTCCAGCCTGTACATTTCCTGTGACAGAAACCACAGAAGCAATTCTACTTTCCAACTACTACATGTTCACACATAGGCATTCTACCATGATCACTT